GGATTCCCGAAGATCATCCTAGGATTGCCTGGCTCTGAAACTAGCCTGCGCATAGGTTGCCTTGACAACTAAAGACACTATGGAGTCCGGCCACTTGGCCACAAGATCAGGCAGGGCCTCCGCGGCATCCTCGTCGCTATAGAACCGGAAGTACATGCAGCTCGTGAGCATTAAAATCTCTCGCGGAGACAAACACTTACGTCTCAGGTCCCTCGAGATCCACGAGTTCCAAGCCACACGAGTAGACAAGAATTCCTCCAGGAAGTCAATCTCCACACTGTCGTGGCCCGGTTTAGGACCGTCGTGGGGGCGAGTTGTGGGGGCATCCAAGGTATCCCTCACTTTTCCTTTCCCTTTATCGCTAGGTCCTGCATCTGGGATCATTGGCGAAGGCGAAGGCATCATTTTCCGCACCGGAAGCTCATCTCGCGATGGAGTAGGATAGTATCGCCCAATTCCGTGTGACGCCTCCAGCTGGGCTGCCAAGTACATCTAATCTGAAGGGACCACTGCAAACCAGTCTCCGTGCTTCCTGGTTGAAGAAGAACATCGGCAATACTGGGAACCTGTATACCTCTGCGGGAACAATGCCTTCTGGCGCCTTGAATTTGGGGATGACGAGGGTGCGTCCGAGGTCTCTGTCAAAGAAGGTGTACTGGGGATAGGAATGGCCCTTAACCCTGCGTCCCACTCGGAACATGGCTTGCCCGCCCTTGTATCACCTCACTATGTACTTGTCCATTTTCCCGGGCCCCTCCTTGGTGCGCATTTGGTGGATGTAAGGTGGGACGACCCATGGCACCCAATCTTCATACACTCCACGAATTCGTCGACGGTTTCAGGCCAGGTCTTAGCTCTCGAACGGCTTTGAATTAGAGGTTCGACCTTCTCCACCAGGATGTTATGTCGGGCCCCAGGAATTTCCGCCGCTAAGCTCAAAAGCCCCTCCCGGATAATGTTCATTGTACCCTCCATCTTCCGGAATTTCGCAATAACCGTGCTGTGGACATTGGTATGTGTAGGCACAAATATAGCATATTTGGTTAGTTTATCAACCAAGACCAGGATTGCGTTGAATTTCTCTGGACCTGAAGAAGGTAACCCTGTTATCAAGTCCAAGGAGATAGTCGTGAATGGTCACGCCGGGATGTGCCCTGGATGAAGTCCGCCCATCTTGCAACAGTGATCAGTTTTGATCTTCTGGCATATGTCGCAAGTCTTCGCGAAGCTCTCAGCATCTGTTTGCATGGCTGGCCAGAAGAAGAGTTCCCGGAGCCGTTTGATTAGCTTGGCTGGGCCGGTGATGAGGGTGGATGACAGGTGGGAGGCCAAAGATGAGACCAACACTACACAACTAAAACCCAAAAACAAAATGACTAACGACCATTCTGCTCCAGCAATAACTGCGCAACACCGTTCCGATAACCACCAATAACCGTCTCCTAACACGAGTACAGAACCCTGGGAACAGAGCCTGTCCACGGATGTGCAAGGTTGTAGGGTAGATCGAATGAAATCTTGTTAAAGATTCGTTTTATGGTTGTTCTTAAGCATACTCACAATAGGAAAGCGCCAATACGATGCCCAGAACCGTTTATACTCGTTTGGATCAGGAACTAACTGCCTTAAACCCAAGGAGTTGTCTCAAGTCAGGACTAACTGCCTTAAACTCTCGACCGCCAACTGAAACCAAGTGTACGCCAACCGAAACTCTTTTATATGGCAACCGGAACCCTCAACTCTTCGATCACAACACCTTTTTACTTGAATGAAAGAGCTAGCAAGATGATATTGACAAGCCAGATGCACTCAAATACAGGACAGAGATATAAATACTAAAACAGAAAATGATAAGATCAGGTAAATCGCCACAACAGAATGATGGTCCATGTGCATAATTTGTAAGGTATTGTTTCGCCATAAGGCCCAGAGTTGAAAATCCAGGTCTAGATGACCAGTAGCGCGTGTTTGGTGTTAATGACCTTTGTAAATCCTCCTTTCTTGCGACCGTCTATGCGTTTTTTGTGAATGGTCCGCTAACCGTTGTTGTTATCGTCGTGTTGCTCCACTTCCTAGCTTTCCATCGATACCCATAACTTGAGGCTGACCGCCAGACACCGTTAGGCAACTTTTCGAACGAGATAATCACAACCTATTGTCGAGTTGTTTGGTTAGATGGTTACGGTTTAAGGTCGCCGCAATCTGCAGCCAAGCCCTCGTTTCTACTGAGTCATGCTTCCCGTTTAACCGCACCTCCACATGTCCTTGTCCTTGCGTAAGCTCCGAAACCGTGTTCCAATACTGTCAGGGATTCATCCGTTTGAAGCCTAGTTGAACCTTCGTTGGAGTGTTCTGAGTTCGAGTCCCAACGCATGTGCCAGACCAAATATGCCTTTTAGTTTACACTCCCTTTTGGTACATATAAAGAGGATTGGATGGGTCCTCTATGTTTGTTTGGGCTCTGCTGTTGTTTTGGTTGTTGTAGGAGTCGTTCTAAATGGCCAGTTGCCATCAACAATGGTTGAATCGAAATGCCTCCTCGCAGATATCTCCCTAACTGGCCATTCGGGACTCATGCCAGTCCTTAGACGTGCGCTGTACCTATGAAATGACCAAAAACAGTGGTTTTCTATGTGTGTTCCAAAATGCGGCTTATCACCGTGATTTGCAAGGCGATGGGTTCAATCGACATTGAGTGGCATGTTGATTGACACACGGAGCGTCGGAGGAGCTTGAGTGGCAATGGGACTGTGATTTCCCTCAGGCAGCAGGGCGGGTGTAGAGGGCACAGAAACGCGGAATTTGTTGGTAAATGATGCCATCGTTGATGGCACAATGGGGGAGGAGAGGCTGTCGTGTAAAAATGTCACATTGTAACTAATATTTACAGCAAAATGTGACATAGAGGACAGGAGGGCAGAGGGCAGAGGGCAGAGGGCAGAGGGCGGGCATGATTACCCTTTTGGGACATCATGTGCCGTTGCTCAAAAGCTAATAGCTATATGTCACTTTGTGCCCCTCAGCACGGCATTTCTTAGAACCAAACTTTGGATGATGCTCGGCTCCTCACCCTCGACTTATATGAATGCACCTGTTCCGCCTCTCCCCATCAACAATCCTATTCGGCAGTTTCATGCTGATGTTATTGGCTTGTGCGGAACCATTCCGGCCGAATTGGCCGAGGCGATACCGGATCACAACCAGTTTACCCAAATCGATGAGGAGGTTCCTCCTCCTCCTCCTCCTATTGAGACAGGAGGTACTGGTACTGGTCCTGCTAATCCTGGTGGGCCAGATGATGGTGGAGATGGCCCTGGTCCCCCTGGCAGTCATAATAGCCCGCTTGGTGAAGGCTCTGGTGGCCCTGGAGGTCCAGATGACCCAAACGGTCCTGATGACCCAAACGGTCCTGATGGTTCTGACGGACCTGGTGGTCCAGGTGGCGGTGGCCCAGGAGGAGAGTGAATAATGGTAAGCAAATACAAATGAAGCTGACCTAGCAGGGGAGGATCCAAAGAGAAGAAACTCTAAGGGTCTGCCTGCTAGGTAGCTGAACTATATATACTGTGCTCTTGATGTGCCAAGTGTGATCATTGCTCCAAGCAGTATGCCTGCGCCATGTTGCAAGACAGCTCCCAGGGGGATCTCCAGGGTGGGGCGGTAATGTGTCCGATAGAGGTGGTGATATGATCACCGGAACCGGAATCGGACCGGAATTGGGGTCGGAATCAGTGGGCCAAAGGGGAGGTTCTCTTGACACTGAACCACTAATCCTGTTCCAGTCATAAAAAAGGCTCATAAGCTCAGCAATGGTGATAGTAACATTTATTTAAGTTTGTGTCCATGGACTTCCACCTGGCGGTTAAGTTAAGTTCAACTTAGGGTGTAGTTTTTTGATCCGGTTTATAAACTGGTTTATAAACCAGTGTTTATAAACACTGGTTTGCAAAGATTTGACTGGTTTCCTGGTTTACAAACCAGGCTAGTCATGCGACTTAAGTACTACCAGCTGATATAGATCATTAATTATAAGTCCTGTATATTATATATAGTAAATTATGACCTGTACCACTGGTCCACCCCCAACTGAGAGAACAGAGGTATGAAGGTAACGCCTTGAGCCAGAATTTAGGGCTGAAAAAAATTATGTTATGACATTACGTGCTTGGTTGCCTGGTTTACAAACCGGTTTATAAACACCAGTCTGGGACACCTAAAATTATAAACCGTTTTTTAACACTCAAATCTTTAAAAACTGCACCCTAGAACTTCAACTTGGGGGCCCCAAAAGCTTTCCACTCCATTAAAGTTAAGGGTGTAGCAGCATAGTGGCAGTCTTTTAGGAAGGAAGACTGCCAGACCAAGAACAAAATGTCATAATAAGATAGCTACTCATAAAACTATTGGCAAACACACTATGACCAGCAGATTGAGCTCGGCTTGGAACATGTTGAACCAACCTTGCTACCCATTGGTTTACCATAGCACATTCTATCTCTGCTTGATCTCTGCCAATTTAATGAAGCACAGACCAGCTGGTTTCACTTTCACTGTCTTCCCCAGAACCCACAAAAAGAAGAGCAGGGTCATTGAAGCCAAGCTACTTACTCTTCTTACAATGGGCAACCCCACCTCAGCTAACCCCACATCAAAATCCTGCAGAGGCGTGAAAACTGCTGTCCACAATTTCATGCCCAAATAATTTCCCTTTTGGGAAATTTCATTATCTACAACTCTCAGATTATCCTCCTGCTTGTCATGTGGTATTTTTCGAATCTAGAACCTATAAATCAACCTCCTGCAAAGCTACTTTCTCACAACTGGAATTACTTTTTGGCGGGGCACCTAATAACTGCCAGCAAGAATTTCAACAACTGCATGTTGACATACACAGCTACCTACTAGGATGTTTTTACTATTCTACAATCGTCCATTACCCGGAGTATCCTACGAAAACCAAGTCCAAACACATATATATAAGTATATAAGTAGGCCCGCTGTCAGCACTGCCCAAGCAGCTTGTTCTTCGGGATCGGCTGCTTGTAGTCGTCCTTCCACGTCGTGAGGTTCGGGTTCGTGTACGCCTCGAGGTATCTATCATGCGCGTCAGCGGTCAGTTGTAGTTGCAGCATCAAAAGCGCCAGACGCACGTGTTGATGTACGCGCTCGTGGGCCGGTTCGGCGGGTCGCACCCGATGTTGATCCGGTCTGGGTGCTGGTACACGCGCACCCAGTCGATGCGCATCGTCGCGGGGAAGACGAGGTGCTCGATGTCGACGAACCCGAACGAGTGCGAGATGCCAAGGTTCGCGAGGATGTACTGTTGCTCGTCAGCAAACCACACAAAGAAAGGAGAGAGAGAGAGGACGCACCAGGGGCTCCTCGGGGATCGGGCGGGCGGCGATCCCGACGCGCGGGTCCGCGGCGAGCCCCCCCGAGTTCAGCGTCCACGCAACCTTATTGTCGCTGATCCACGTGATGTACTGCGTCCATGTCAGCCTTTCCGTCCCGGAGTACAGGCACGACTTACCGCGTTGTCGTAGCCGGGGACATACTCGAAGCCCTGTGCCGCGTAGCACTGGCTCTTCAGCTGGAAGCACTGCTGGTCTTGGTGTGTGGTGTCAGTCGAGAACGTTTGGCAAGTGCAGACACGTACTCGTGGCCGTCACCACGGAGCACGGCTGCTGGTACACCCCGCCGGAGTAGTCGTTCTGGTGCGACAGCCGCGGGTCCGTGATGACCATGTTGTCGCTCGTGTTGAACCACGCGTACAGCGCGTTGAACGGCTGCGCAGGGGGGTCAAGTCCTCGTAGACAGGCAGAGCAGAGCACTCACGGCAAACTGCGCGGACTGCGAGACATCGCCCGTCCGGGCACTCGGCGGGCCGCCGATCTGCCCCTCGAAAATGTCGATTTCCGGCGCGGACCTTCCCACGTAGGAGCCGTCTCGGTGCATCGGGCCCGGGTGGCTCTCCCCGGGACACGTGCAACGGCTAAGGCGCTGGCCGGGCTGGTACGAAAGCGGCGTACCCGTGCCGTGCCCGTCATCGAGCGCCGCGGGCGGGCCCTTGCCGTCGGGCGTCGTCTGATTGGGCAGCGCGCCGTTGTCGCAGGAGTCATATGAGTACGGCCACTATAGAGGATCGATAACTGTGAGAATAACAGAGTGACGACATACCAGACCATCTAGCGTTGCGCCGCTGTAGCAAGTCTGGTCAGCAGCAGGAACACATGGACCACAGGACACGCACTATCCGGCCCTGCCCAGATTACCCATCGTCCACAACGCGGGCCACAGCCCAAAGACATTAGTTGTGCCCGGCATCATGACATCAGCCAAGATCAGCCCGCCTGCAGAGATGTTCAGGGACAAGTCAAGGGACAGATGCCGAGCAGCGCGCACCGGTGAAGCAGAATTTGTTCCATGTGCTGACCATCCCGCCCATATAGTCGAGGCCATGGTTGGACGTGGGGTCTTTGACGACGGAGAGGTTGATCTCCATCGCGCCGTCACGCGTGGTCACCGCCGCGGGGTCGTACCACTCCATGTTGCCCGTGGCCCAGTAATGCAGGTCGAGCGCCTCCCTGTAAGCGTTCGTCAGGGACAATTTCAACTTGCAAGTTAGACTAGGGACGCACCAGTAAGGGTCGTCGCCGGGGTAAAAACTGCGGCCCTCCTCCTCGAACTCGTCGCTGAACACCAGCTGCAAGACTTGCGATGGATCGTTGTAGGAATGGACTTTGTAGAACTCCTGCAGGGGGAATTGGTACCACATGTTACGGAAAGAGAGCACGCACCTTGGGCGTATGCAAGTCTATCAGCCCGAAGTTCCCTATGCTTGCGACCTGTCCTGTCGAGTTGACCATCAACGGCACATCCTGCGCGTGCTCCCGCGGGTTGGTGAAGTATCGCGCCAGCGGATACCCCACACTGTCGAGCGGTGAGCTGAGTCAGCGGGAAAAGGGAAGCACACGCACAACAGCCCCGTGCACGCCAGCGCCAGTATGAGGATGCAGCCAACATTCGACATCCCGCGGGCGGTAAACACGTTGTGCGAGCGGTAGTCGACCTTGGGGTCGTGCAGCGCGTCGTCAGCCTCTGCGGCGCCCGTGGATATGCCCCACACAGCGGGGTCGGCGTCGAATTGAAACTATCGCTGTCAGCGGGGGCCATCACAGACAACCACAACCACACACCTTGTCCGATAAAGTGGGGGCCATCGATACCTGCCGATACATCCGCGGTGGGCCGGACCGGAGCATGGTGGGGTAAGCGTACGGCCCAGACACACTGGAGGTGGTCGAGGCATACGACTGGGTGCGCGAGCCGTGTGAGGGCGGGAGGGGAAAGCGGGGGGTGGGAGGTCCCGACGATGGCCCGAGATGGGGATTTGGTATTGGAATTGGGGGGAACTTGCCGTCGACCGAGCCTGGCCGGCTCGAGCTTGGCACCGGCTCGTATCGAGGAATGGGCGTCGCCATGGGGCGGGCAGCGCGGGCGCAGGAGAGCGGAGGGCGAACGACGATGAGGTGAGGAAGGGAAAGAAAGGGAGAACACGGGCAGAAGGGTCCGAAGACGCTGAAAAAGACTAATCGCTAAGCGGGAAGGACATCGACGCAGGGATCAGCGGGCTTTATGGGCCGCATCTGCTTGGCGTGTGTGATATATAAATAAACGCACACATGGTGTATTTCACCTCGGACCGCTAGATCCAGGCTCAAACGCGGAGCCCATGTGGGAGGAGACAACCGTCGTCGGCGTCGTCCCCGTGTCGCAGTAGTGTCGCAATCGACGACAAATACGAGGCTCGCCCCTAGTCTGTGCGACGTCACCAGTCTGAGGGCCTGCGCTCGCTCGGTATTCCTCCGAGCGAGAACAGTGCGGCCTCCTGCAGCCGTTCCCCGAGCCTTGCTGCATTGTCACGATGACCGCCGGGTAACCGTCACCGTGATAACGCATCGATGATCGCGGATCAGTTTCCTCCTTTGCCCGAAAGCCACGATCACGATCGAAAGTTTGCATGAATCAGTTCTGGGAGACACTGCGGATAAGGCTAAGTATTTGGTACACCAATCTGTCACAGTACACGGTGTCCTCACAGTTCGGGAATAAACGGGGCCCGTTTCGATCGATTATACACCTAAAATCCATGTACCAAAAAAAAAAAAAAAAAAAAATGTCTCTATTTGCACCCAAAAAATGTTCACTTTTATGATAAATACTCACTTATATGATATATATCAGGGCCCTGGAGCATATAAGTGAATCTTTTTTGGGTGTAAATGGAGATTTTTTTAAATAAAAAAATCCTTTTTTGGCACATTAATTTTAGGCATATAATTGATCGAAATGGGCGCTGTTTACCCCCCAAACTCCCACAGTGCCTTCTATTTGGTACACTGATGACTTAATTGATTTTCTGTAATGTTATAAGCGTGACAAGTGTGACAAGTGTGACACATCACACATCAATCTCTCTTTTTCACTTCTCAGTTCGCTGAAAATCTCAATCTGGTGTGAATTCCCTTAGATCTTATATGACATTGTGTTTTACCAGTGTCAGTAGGGGGACCAGACTTGGATGTAGATAAGCAGCAATCAATTTCCAATAATGTCAATCAATTTCCAATAAGGCCATCAATTTTTATCAACAAGCCATAAACTCTTATTCTGACACAATTTTTCAATGTAATAGCACTCAGTTCTGTAGAGTATTTAAGAGAGACTGATCTTCTACTGATCAGAAGATTCAAGACTTTGAGAATGGGTTTAAATATTTTACATTGAAAATCAATAGGTTTTACCAGCTATTGACAGCTGTCACACAACTACAAAATCCACACTCTTATAATTATATTCTGGATTAAGGAGATCTGTCTCTATAAAACTTCAAGTGTTTAAACATGCTGTGGCTAGTGACTAGTACATAGGTTGAAGGCAAAAACCTCAAGGAGAATCACTACACCAATTAGATTTTTAGAAGGAAGATACAGGGTAAGTACAAAAGAAAAAAAATGTCTTCATTCTGGCAGCTAATAAGCTCTAATCATCAAAGGGATCTAGGTGTAACATAAGTCACTTGTGACATCAATAATCAACAGTGTACCAGATAGACAATCATCTATTTAGGGCACGGTGTACTATCACACCTGGTGTACCAAATAGCTTTATCCGACACTGTGATCTACCGCTTCGAGGTGCTGATGCCACTAGCACCAGCTCACTGCCCAGCTCGTATGGTGCAGCCGGGCTTGTCACATCCACATTTGGACAAGGCAATGAGCTTGACATCTGATATAGATATAGCTTATTCCTCTTATGAAACTTATTATATTAGACCTACATAGTGCATGGGTAGAACTTGGTCATTTCCTCTGCTGATTTAAAGCTAGATAAATATTGCCCAACAATGTTCTACATTCAATATGCCCCTGGTCCCAGGGCCTGTTCAATTGCCTCCCGCCACCTCCTGACCTCTAGCACCATCTCGAGCGCCACAGCCATCTTCATCTGCATCTCATCAGACACATCCATGTCACTGGGTAGCAACACCCCAGAGGCCAGCCGTGTCCCCACAGGCATCTTGAGCAGAAATTTTAGAATGCAGTTTTTTAAAGATTTGAGTATTAAATTTTTTGATGTCCCAAACTGGTGTTTATAAACTGGTTTGTAAACCAGATAACGAAGCATGTGATGTTTTTTGATGTTATGATATAAAATTTTCACTCTAGATTCTAACTGAAAGGGTTACCTTTATACCTCTTTTCTCTCAGTTACCTGTGGTACAGGTCATAATTTACTATATATATTGTATAGGACTTATAATTTATCATGCAGATTAGCTGGCAGTAGTCAGATCACTTAAATCATATGACTAGACTGGTTTATAAACAAGGAACCAAGTGAAATCTTTGTAAACTAGTGTTTATAGACACTGGTTTATAAACTGGTTTGTAAACCAGATCAAAAAACTAGGGGGCTGTAAGTAATTCTCTGGGAATTACTCACAGCTGTTTCGAAACCAGTTTTGAAACAGGGGTGTTTCGACACAGCTTTGAAACTGGCCGGCTGTCAACGGCTGGACCGGACAGACCATAGCCGCAGGCCCCATAGTCGCTGGGCCGGTTGGCAAAGAGGCTAGCCCACTCATTGTCAAGTGGAGTTGGTGCCAAGAAGGTGACACTGCCTGCAGATACTTTTTCCACTTATTGTTCCGGCCATTGCTGAGCCATTACCGGCAGGTCTGGGCATCCTGGGGTTCTCAGCATCCCAGGGTTCTCACATGCTACTTTCGAAACCGGGTCAACCTCAGGATGATTTCAAAACTCACAGCACCCTACAAAAAAACCACACCCTAAGCGGAATTGGCACAAGCGAGGTCAGGCTGAGCACAAGGAAGTGCATCTCTATCCGGCCTGCAGCACGGCTTTGTGAACAGATCATATGTTTGCAATCACGACACCCTGCTTGTTGGACATCCAGGAGAATATCGGACATCAGCCCACTACCAGAAAGTAATGGCTTTATACCTATCCAAGTCTGGATCGACTTGTTTACCAAGTGAATCTGTATCAAGCCTGTAAGCATCAAGATCAACAGTGAGGAAGTCGCACACTTCACACGCAATCAGATTGTGCAATATTGTGGGGTTCCTCAGAAGATCATCTCAGACCGAGACCCCCGCTATGTATCCGACTTAATTGGCTGCTGGGAACAGAGATGAACCCAAGCACAGCATATCATCTTCAAACCAACGGTCAGATAGAGCAGATGAACAAAGAGATTGAACACTATCTCTACATCTATATCAACTGCCACCAATCAGACTAGTCAAAATAATTACTGTTGGCCAAATTCACATACAACGATGAAGCTCATGCTTCAACCAAGGTCTCACCATTCTTCTTAGATCATGGGTACCATCCCTGGAAAGGCATAACCCTATGACTCCTACTCTGTCAGACTGCGGGTCGGGCCATGCAAGGACCTCTTCTAAGAATGCGCGCCCGGAACAGAACAGACAGATCGTCGGGCCTGCAAGTATGGCAAGCGGGGTAGATCGAAACCAAAAGGGCCCGTTAACTCGGTCCCTTGTCACTGTCGGTGGTCGAAGGTTCGAATCAGGTCGTGTCGGGCCCGATGAGTCGATGGCACCTCCTTGCACGGAGTAAGGTAGTTCTTCAGACGATCTAAGCGATAGAGTACATGGTACGCTATCGCGCCTTATATACGCGGGCCCGCAAAGGGGTGATCGGACACCCTGGCCTCCCCTGTTCCTCCTCGCTCCCGTTCCTGGCCGCAGAGGGGACGATCGTACATCCCTTGCGGGCCAGGCGCGACTCCTAACCTCCTAGCACTCCTCCCCAATCCCTTGGTGTCGAGTTGGGCTCGGCAACGGCTCGACGCGTCGTTCTCGGTCACATGCTTCCCATGTGTGCATTCCTCATACTGGGGCGCATGTTCCCTGTTGTCATGTGCTATGTGTTACGGGCCCGCGGTGGCCCGACACCAGCACTGGAGAGGACGGGCCGGGTCTTATCCGCGACAAACTCTTGCAGTCTCCAAGGCTGAGGCAGCAGAAGGGTTTGCCAAAAAGATGCAGTGTGTGCAAGTACTATGGCCAGAAACATGTACCAGCACCTGAGTTTAAAGTTGGAGACAAGGTGTACATTAAAGAGTCAAAAGTGCAATACAATTGACCATCCGAGAACCTCAGTGATTAACGTATGGGACCATTTAAAGTGGGTGGAGGCAAAGGTTGGACCTTTGGCATACGAACTCAAGATGCCAGGTTCTAGTCAGGCTCATCCAGTCTATAATCAGACAGAGCTGACACCCTACCACAAGCCACCACCCCCACCGGTAAGAAGAAAGGCCGCCACCAGACATTGTGGATGATCACAAGGAGTGGGAGGTTTAAGAGATTATGAAGAAGTGGAAGTGTGGTTGTGGTTGGCAGTATCTGGGGAAATGGAAGGGATACCCGCATAGCGAGGATACATGGGAGACGGCACAAAGGCTTGAGAACTTTCAAGAATTATTAGACAAGTTCAACCAGAAGAACCCAGTGGTCAAGACCCATAGTGTGCCTGTCCTTGCCTAGGGTCATTAGGATTACCTGGTCAAACATTATAAGCCGACGTAAGAGAAGCTCTCATATCCGTCCCGGAAACTCTTTAATTATCAGACTGGCCATTTTGTGGAGGCTGAAGGGGGGGGTGGATGATAAACACGCTTTAATGCCCTCTGTCGACAAGGACGTTGACCTTGAAGGGGGGGGTAATGTCAAACCCTGGGTTTAAAAACCCTTTTTCTTTGCCCTTTAAACCTTTTATTTTGGCCCTGGTTGAGAAGATAAGATAGTAATTGGATCATCAGATGTTGATGCTGATGTTGATTGACAGTGTGGAGTTGGACATGAGGCAGACAGTATGTAAAGGCATGGCTAATGTCATTGTCTCTTGTATTAAGCATGGTAAAC